TCGTAGAGTAGAATTTTCATCATGATCAACTAACCCATCACGTGACTCATACAGGACGTGGTCAGTTACTCAAATTCTGCAGATAAAAAGCCAGTTTTGTAAGTATATTTAAAATTTGAAATAAAAATTATTTCGTCCGAAATTATTAAAATAATGTAGCATGTTATTCGTGTTTAAACAGGATAACATAATTATTAGAGAGTTGATTTGGATGGATTGTAGAATTTCACTTTTCATATTTTGGACATTATTTTCTGGTATAAAAGGGTGCCCAAAAAGTACTGCTGCTGGGATTTTGTGCGCAAATTCTGCTTAAACCTGGAAGCGAAAATTCTGAAATATGCGATAACGAGTTGTAAAAATTACATTTGGTTCTTATTATTTTCCCATGAACTGAAATCTCTTTCAAATTCATTTTGTGTCTATGCCGTATTAAATATACAGCACCAGACTTTTGGGACACCCTGTATCTCATCCGATATTCATTTCTTCTTTATACCATCATGGGTGTTCAAGTCCCAAATGTATAAGAGTTGCATTGAAACATTGAAATGACCCAAATATATGCACTTTACTGAAATGAAACATTCCATTTAAAGTTTAAAAAACTGAATCAAAAGTATGGTTTAATAGAATTACTTGTACGTCGACTACATTCAACATCATTATATGTAGTTTTTATGGCATGCCATTCGATGTCCAATAGTGAATCCAGGAATCTGTTTGCGAGTAGGATGAGGCGGGGTTGCGCTTTGCGAGACGGGCGCAAGTACTGACCAACGTTAGGGCGCGGTGTCTCTCTCTTCAATTACCCAGTTAAAAGCGCTATGTTATGCTCATAATTTAGATACACTTTTAATGTTACATAAAGAAACATTCGACCAAACATCGCAGATTGATCCAGAGTAGCACATGAATGTGATGTGTTATATTATAAAATAGATAAATTGTATTAACTTGTTTAACTAAAGGAGCAGATATTTCAAAATCAAAAATTTTAATAAAGAATCTTTGATCAGAACGGCAAGTATACTTGATATATGACAGTCTCTGGTTTAAATATCAATCGTCTTAAAGCAAATAAAAAAACAAAATATTTATATACATTTATTCGTCATATTACAAATGAGGTTTCAGGAACATAGCAGCGGGATATAGAATTTATAAATGGGGGAGGTGGGACATAATACACTATATATTTCCCGCTCCAATATAAACGTTTTTGTTCAGTGTAGAAACGGTCAATTTGTTAGAACATCTTGCTATATGGCGAAAGTATCAAAAATGATGCAGCAGGCGGTAGAATTTTCTTGACCAAAATTTTGATGGATTTCTCGAAAAGAGAACACTTTAAAGAAAACGAACCTGTAAAAGTCCTCACTTGTCATAGGATAAATTAGTTATGTGATGCTCGGTTTTGAATGTGAGTATGTCCAAAACCTCCCATAACATATCATATATGTTTTGTCAAAACATGTGTAGATTTCAATAAAAGTGAATCAAGTATAATATATACAAGTATAGAATCTTCACAAATCTAAAGCAAAATATATTTCGATATGCTAACTCGGGGTTGTTTAGAACAAGGGACACTTGAATTTAATTATTTTATCGTAGTAAATTGAAGTAATATTTTTAAACAATATCTTTATAGTTTTGAAGTGCCACTTCAATAAGCTCTACTCATCTCGAAAAAGAAACATGATATGGCCCTACCAAAATTGTATTTTCAGTGGTATTTAAGCAAGTCTTCCGTAAAGCACATTGCTCGGGCGTTTTTAGCTCACTCAGTGAGCTGTTGTTATCGCTCAAAAGTCCTTTAGTCTGTCCGTCAGTTTTTCGGTACGTCCGTACTAGTGGTGTCAATTAACCGCTTGAGCATTAACCGGTTAACCGGGTGTTTTTACCGGTTAAAGTCAGTTAACCGGCAGGAAATTTGAACTGATAATTTCAAAAGAAATCTTCATCTTCCATCTTGAAAGTTGAAAAAATTGGAAAAATGATATATCGGCGTTTATTTTTTTACGTTCGTCAAGCTTTACTCTATTCTATTCATACACTACCTGACTACCGGTACCTCTTACCACACTAGTTTACCCTTGGAATCTCCACGAACGCATCATAACAACGAGAATTGCCGAACTCCAATGCAGTGTCTCGGTATCACTGCACGGTGGTTCGGAGAATTGCAGCTGATTAGTGCTTATTTTAATTTTCTCACTACCAAAGCGGGGCTTTGACCTTTGACATTTTGGCGACGTTGAGAGACAACAATAATAACAAAAACAAACAAATTAACATGCAAAGTAAGCGCGGGAAAGCAATGTGGCAGGGATTAAAGTTGCTGATTGGATGTTTGTAAGGAATTATCGGACCTATCACATTTATGAGTAGCTCACATGAAACTGACGCTTGAAAAACAAACAGATTAACATGCAAAGTAAGCCGCGGGGAAGCAATGTGGCAGGGATTAAAGTTGCTGATTGGATGTTTGTAAGGAGTTACCGGACTTATGACAATTATGAGTAGCTTACGTGAAACTGACACCATAAAACCAAACGCATTAGCATGCAATATAAGCGCGGGAAATAACAGAATTATACACGGTCAACTAACCACCCATAAAAACACAGACCGGTCAAGGCATTATCGGCGGTTAACCGGTTAACCGGTTAATACTTGACACCTCTAGTCCGTACTATAGTGGCTCGTTTTAAAACCCCTGTTGATAAGATTCCCGTTTGAAGTTATTTTTTCTACAACACTATCCTCTCCCTAAAACTCCTGATTCAAAAACTTGCCTATTTTCAAGATGGTCGCCATTCATGCATTGTAAAAACCAATGTCACTGTAAACAGTTATTTAATTAAATCATTTTGAAACAAAAAATAAAATTTCAATTCAATTGATCAATTTATTCATATATCCAATCATATCTACGTTATTTGTGTTCAACATCAGTACCTTATAATTTCAAACCTTTGTTGATAGGATTCTCGTTATAAATTTTTTTCAACACCAATACAGACCACCCCCCCCCCTTTGATTTAAAAGCTCGCTGCTTTCAAAATATCCACCATTTTTGTCTCGCAAAATTTACTATGAGACCATTCAGTAGATTTATAGATACTTTCATGTGTCTGCATTGTAAAAAAACATGTCACTGTAATTAGTTCTTTAATGATATCATTTTGTAACAAAAAATAAAATCAACCAAATTATTTCAAAAAATTAAGCAAAATACCATACATATGAGTGTTATATTTGTATATCTAGAACGATAAATGAGATTTATTCGATTTAACGCCATACATTGGAGCAGTTTTGTATAATTTATAGGGCATTATTTTGACTTAGCTTGAAATTAACATATTATATTAATATTATATTTTCTATAAACAACCACTTTACTACTCCAGTGTATGAAAATATAGCCTATGTTAATGTCAGAATTATCTTAACATTATCTCATATTATAATATGAATTTCATATAAAGTTGGATGATTGTTTGATCATTAACTGATTATAATTAGCTTTTGATGAAATGCATTTCATACATTTTACATTCCTCAACATTGCACAAAGTTTTTATCACCAGGACGATTTTGTGTACACATTTCTTAAACTCCAAGGTCATTCATACGAAGGTTGTGTAATCTTAGTAATGCGACATTGTGTAATAAATAAAAAGATAACGATGCTTTTGAAATGACAATTAATCTCTCTTTCTTTTAATATTTTATTGATTTACCTTGATATAACTAAGATTAAACACGTAATTTCAATGTAATACCTTCTTGATTATGATAGTTTTTAACACTGTGGGTAAAAAATTGTATTTGGTTACAGATTTTAGAGAGCTGGGAGTGTTTTATATACGATTTGGGTCTACCGTATGCATACTTATCATACCAGAGTACTGTTGACTCTATAAAGCCACCAGGTTTCGTTTTATAATAAATAGTAAACAATGAAATATGAATGAAATTTTGAGTGGGCCTTTAACAATCACATGACAATTAGTATGAATATTTATATTTAAAGTCAAAAACAAAAAGTCGACATTTTTAAAAATGTGTATATCATTTTAATAAGTCTTTGTTATTCACATAAATATTATGCTTATTTCTCATGGCACACCACATGTTTAAGTGAGACGCTGGTGACATATTTTATTCAAGTAAAAGTGTATAATTCATAATCCATGGCTAGATAACAACCTCATTTTCATTTGGTATGCAAATTATGATTTTGTATCATAAGTTAAAAAAGTTATAGCATTTTGAAAATAAAGTGGCGTTTTTTGGCCCACCCTGTATATGCATTTTGAATAATATCAATTAGAAATATATTCTCTCAAATTCGGTAAAATTCAATCAATAGTTGCAGATATTGATTTAAATATTGTCCCTCAACCCGTATACGATTTGCGTTTATTGCAGCCTTTTGGCAGGTGACATACCGACATTAATCTATCTTTTTGTACAGGGGATTTATGAAGTTGTATGTAAATAAAAACAGGGAATTACACATATACCTTTCTTTATATCTCCAGAATCGAATCTAGTACAATACATCAGCCATGGAGGTCGTGAAAGGAATTAAAAGTGGCCTTCAGAATATCAATGAACAATCAAACTTTTTCACGATCTTTGGATTTCTGGTGACCGTTCTCTACATCCCTAGAGTTGCCATCACCTTAGTTGCTCAATCAGAATTCTTCAATAAGGACCACCTTATATGCACACCTAATGGTACTTCCGGGGCGTCGGAGACCCTCAAGGAACGATGTTACGCTAGATTCGCTACATCATGGCCGCCACATTACCATTGGTTTCTACAGTTAGGTCTTGCAATAGGCGTTATGATCTGCTTCTACTTTCCATCCGTCTGGATTCTAAAGCACAATAAGAAAAAATCGAAAAATATTGCTCCGGGTTACTTTATACAAACAGCCATAAGAACAGTTATCGAGCTCAGTTTCATCATCTCCCAGGGTGTCATATATGGGTTCCACGTCTCTGAAAGATACATTTGTTCAATCCAAAATCAAAAGATACCATGTGATGTGCTTAGAGTGAATGGGCGCGTTGCCATGCTGGTTGCTATGTTTGTTTTTTCCATACTCGCCTTTGGCTTGCACGTGACTGATTTACTCTTTACCATAGTGATGCTGAGAGCCGACGAGACCCTTTTACCCGTGCTTGAAGAAAAAAGTAAGATACGTTTGCTATAAATACAACTTCTTTCTCGAATTAATGTGATTAGTGAAATTACACTGAAAGTGATAATTAGAACAATTCCAATAGTAAATATACATTTTTTAGCTTTTAGAATTCCTAAATGAATTACAAATTAAACACATTTTTTGGTGAAAATTTGACATTGTGAAAACCCCAAATAAATACAGAATACGATAATACCAAAGAACTAAAAAAACAATTTTGTAAACATGACAGATTCATGGATCCCGATAGTTCTTGCATATATAATATGTATTTAAAATAAGTTAGAATATTATGTGGCTCCAGGTAAAAAGAAGATTGTTCATGAAAGACCACCGGCTCCAGTAGAAGATGCCATCATGTGCGAGAACTATACAAATTTGGAAAAGAAGCTCAACGATAAGAAACAGGCATTGATTGTTTTAAGAGGTAAATAAAAGATGCTAACATCGTTTTGACCATTTGTGGTGATCATATTAACGATTTTAGACGAGCAAAGAGAAACCGCGAGGGGCAAATAAAATTATAAAAATCTAAATCTGACAAAAGTAGTCCGATATTCATTCAATATTAGCGTTTTTAATTCCCCGTTATATTATAAGCCAAGTATTAGTACTATGAATTATTTTTTCTCTCTCATTCATCTTTTTTGTCAAATTATTTCTTAAAATTTGAAATTGTTGTTGATCGTAGTGTACCGCACGTAGGTTAAGTAGGTTATATGCTTAATGCAACTAATCAAATTCTCAGGAATTCAAAATGGAGTAGCCAACTTACTATGAAAGCTGTGACTAATGGTTTGCTAGCTACAATGATATGTCCATTGGGAGTTAGACAAAATCTAGCAAAAGTCGTCCATTAGCAAATTAAAAACGAAAATATCAAAAGTCGGAGTTGCTTGTATTCCATAATCGTTTTTGACCTGAAGACACACGAAAGATGTCACATGTGTCAAATCAACTTTGTAACTTGCATTGATATTTTTATGGGTTCGCTATGTTAAGTCATACAGCACAGTTGTAATTTAGAAAAAAATGGAATAACATATACGTATATACGATATGTACATGGTGTCAAATAAGTTACCTAGTATGATATATCATATATAATCCAAAGTAACATTAACTCAACAGCTCTCAATGATCTTGGTTGAAATTTGGCTATATTTTCATGATGTCCTAAATAGTTAGTGTGCCCTCCTCCATCAGATTTTATTGCATCGAAATGGACTTGTTCCAAAAATGTCTTCACTAATTTCCATTTCCCTCTATTTTATTCACATCTGTCCCTTGTCACATATTGGTTAAATTCACTTCCATTTCCAGAAGAAGTGAGTAGCTCCCATAATCTCTTTATATTCTATCGTATTCGGGGATTCCCCATTACGTCATCGATATCTCCCGCATCATCTCAAATCAAATTGCAGGATGCGATCACGTGAACAATCATGAGCACATGCTCTTTCAGGGCTCCGCATGCGCAAAGTAAAATTTGAAATTGTTAAAATGGCGTTAACATCAGTTCAATATCAGCATTTTAAACCTACGGTAATACTATTGAAGTTACTCGATCCAAACTTGTAGAGAATACTCATGAAACTACAGCAAACATAGGGAGATTCAGTTCAATGGCAAATGAGGCCTGTTCATAAAATTTGTTTTCAAACGTGCCAATATGAAAGGTCATCTCTGGGAAATCTACCCCCCCCCCCGTCCATTTCCATATGTTGTCATCTTGGGCTCCTTCCTGATGCCTGGTTATCAAATACGCCTAATTGCCATGTTTCTAGGTCTTTGGTCACCACAATCGATACAACGTAGCAATTTGTGAATTGTTAAAGCATTGGTTTATAGTTATCAGATATACGTTTATTTCAATACAAAACCGTGTGAATTTATGGGCACGTATTTTAAATCAAAAACCTGTCATTTTTAATTGTACAAAAATCGTCCAACCGGTTTTCACTTAACAATTTCAAGGATGGTTATTTGTGAACACACCTTTGTATAAGTTAAATACCCATGGTGCTCTTTGTGAATAAACATATTGTATGTTCAAACAGGTCCCACTGGCTCTGGAAAAACACAACTAGCCCTCCTCTACGCCAAGAAGTTTACAAACAAAAACAGTGACAGCACGTGCTTCTGTTTCAACTCATCAACCCCAGAGGACATCCTAGTTGATGGTAAGAAGTTAATCGATCAATGTAAACTGAACATTCAAATTTTTGACAGTGGTAGAGATGGAGAAGACAGCGCTAATATGACGAACAAAGCATGGAGGTTGCTAATCCGTATTCGTGATAAATCTCTTGAGGACAATAAAAAATCGTTGTTTATTTTTGATCGTGCAATGTTTGATACATCTTCTATTGTCAAAGAGGTTTTCCTTAACCATAGTTCTTTTACTGTTATAATTACCTCAAGCGATGATAATGATGCATTTGTAAAAGGGTTTGAGAATTTGACACTCGAAGTTAAAGGTTATTCCAAGGCAGATGTTGACGCCCTCACTATTTGCCAATACAACCAATTCAAAGGCAAAGATATGCAAAATTTGGCAAAGAAGCTTGACTATTTGCCACTGGGAATACATGCAGCGTGTCAATACATTATCGAATCTAAAGGAACCATACCCAAGCTTCTTGACCAACTGAAGGGTGGTAAAGAGGACGCATTAGATAGCTTGTTTCAAATGTCACACAAAAAGGCATGCAAGGAATGTGAACAAGATGAAAAGGCTAAACTACTACTCAATGTTGTTGCTGCACTAAGCCCTGATCCGATACCATTTGATGTTCTCGACTGGACGATAGGTAGCGGCAATGAAGACCCGTTTCAAAGGAAAGCTGATCGTTCTATTGAATTGGATAAAATGGCAAAAAGGAGAAACAAGATAATCGATGTGATAACGAGATTCCATCTAGGGACAGTGGAAATAAAGGGATCTGATAACAAGATGCTACGTATGCATAATATTCCAATAAGAGCAATTCAAAAAAGCTGGGATGAAAACGAAAGGATCACATATTCTATAGAAATGCTATTAATCCTTGACGACCTTGTTGATAAAGACATACGTCGTGCTAAGGATTTCAATTTCTTTCTCAAGCTGATTCCTCATGTAAAACTTGCACTGAGAACTGACTTGAAAGGAGCAAAAGAGCAGGCTGTTGGTATCAACATTGTACAAATAAGTCTCCAAGATAAGCTACATTATATGTACTCACAAACGGGGCTGATAAGGTACTTTAATGTGAGCGATTCGAAAGCTAAACAGCTGTGCTATTCCAAAATCATAAAAAAGGATGAATCTTGCCTGGATGAAGAAGCAAAAAAGAATTTGCCTGTTAAAGAAATTTATTGTATCACCGATACTAAATTTATAAAAGAGAAAGCCAAATTGATTAACGACAGACTGAAAGAAATACCCATCCCTGTAAAGCCAAAAGACTTTCTTAAAGCGTTAGTATGTACAAGGCGTCTCAATAGCGAGATTGTTGAACTCCTAAAGAAAAAAAAGAAAACTAGTCCGAAGAAACTTTCGAAAAAACAGAAAACAGAAAAGAAGTCTGATGGAGCTGAACTTCCGGGAAAATATTTGAAAGACACCGGGAGTAAATCTGATGATGATCGCATAACAAGCAAATACAAAAAGTGGGTGAATCACGGCGCCGCAATAAGTTTAAAAGAAATGAAGAATTTATACCTTATTGAATTTATGGCGAATATTCTCTACACGCATGGTCGTATGTATTTTTACAAAAGCAAAAACGAACAGGAAGCAAAGGTTTATGAACATGACTTGCGCCTCGCTTATGAGCTATCTGTCATAATTAAAGAGGAGAGCGGCAAACAGATAGCCACGCTGCTTTTAGCTGAACGCAACGGCTTTCTATACACAGATGTTGATAGTAAAAATCAGAAGAGAATTGATACTGCAATAGAACGTTACAAGAAATTGTATAATGCAGACGGTGACTACTATGAGAAAGGTTTGCTGAAAATAATACCACGCGAGGACAAATATCATCATACAATATGCCAAAAGCAATTGCTAAATTGTTATATTGCCACAGTTAAGGTCGAAGAAAACAGCACGAAAAAGCAAAACAAATATAAAGAAGGATGTAAGGAAGCCAAAAACCTTCTTGACGGCATAAAAGATGAGAACTATCAGAGCAAGGCAGAAATCTACATAAAATTTGGTGACCTCGAAATGGCAATGAACGAACCAACTATCAAGAACAAAAAGTATTTGAATAACGCCATTGAAAAGTACGAAAAAGTCCTAAAATTGGAAGATAAAGTACCTAGTGTTAATCAAAGGGCTGACCGAAAGATTGAAGCACTGCAGAAGATTGCAGAATGCCTGTATGGACGTCATAAGAAGGATTGGAAAAAGGCGAAAAACTATGCAACAAGAGCAATTGACATGTGTACGAAGGAAAAAATAAAGAAAGATACCATCACGAAACTTCAGCACTTACTAGATGCAATGAACGATCCGTAAAATATCCAAATCTGTCCTTGTACAAACGGATATAAACATTTGATCATAGTTATGGAAAGAAGCCTTATTAACCAAGGACTTAGGTTAAAGAGATGGTATGAACATAACGAGATCACGCAAAGAAACCAAGAAAGTGTATCCCCTTTCAAAAATTAAAGTGGCAATACGTCACTAATAGAACCTTTCGATGATTAGACGAGTGTAACTATTAGAAATCCTTTCGGACTTTAAGATATAAAATGCTGAATCATCACTACCCGAGGTAAATTTCAGTCGTGTCTGTTGTACATGTATATATAATCATATGTTTTTGTTATACAAAACCTGTATTTCGCCTAGCTAGTTCAACATTCATGTCAAGAGCAGAATCGTGTGTGTCGCTCTGAAGGTATTATCGAGAAAGACGTAGATTGCTTATTCTTGAAACTGTGTTTTGCAGGATATAATGAAACCAAATGGATAATTGTCGTATGTTAGACAAATATATAGCATCACCAGGGTTTCTCGTATTTGATCCAAATGGGTTTATTTGATTGTGGGGTGTACAGAAAGAAATTTTCTCTCTTTCAAAAGACCAAGTCGCAATTTCCAAAGACTTTCAAATGAACGCCCGTGCGACATAAATGTCTAGTAGTCGTATTAGCGTATATAACATTGTATAAAGTACTGTTATGAATAATATGAAGAAATAGTATGATATGTATTATACCTGATATATTTATTATTTTCCAAAATACAAGCTGTTATTTAAAGTATATTTTGAATGTTATTAAATGTTATTAAAGTATCGTGAACAATGTATTTACTTTGATATAAACAAAGAAACGTTTTTTTGCAAAGCTTCTACTGTTCCCACTTCTATTATACCGTGGACAATATTTAAACTATACAATTTTGATTTCATATTTATAGCAATTGTGTTAGTTCACTACTTTCTTTTCCAAACAGTATGTTCCAATAGTTCATTAATTATTGAATGACTTATTGCAATGGACCAATAACTTATTGCAATGTCACAATAACTTATTACAAGTTCCAAATAACTAATTGCAAGGTCAAAATAGCTTAGTTGAATGTCACAATAACTTATTGCAAGGTCAAAATAACGTATTGCAATGTTACACTAATTTCAATGTCACGATAACTTTTTACAAGGTCACAATAACTTGGTGCAAGGTCACAATGACGTATTGCAATGTCATAATAACTTACTGCACTGTCAAAATTCATTATTGCAATTTCACACTTGGAAACATGCATCTATAAACTAATGTATAACTGAACACACTTGACTTGTTGGACAATGTTTAACAATGTCCAAATGTTAATATATTGTAGAGGAAGGTCCAAAATTTGTGTTGTTACCATAAACTTTTCGTAGTCTTGAAATTTGCAGAAATTATAAGCTCTAACCAAACATCACTGAAAATCGATAAAATGTGAACTTCAACTTTGCGATCCTGCCCCCATTAGTTGCAAAGTTATTGTGATCCAAAGAAATGGTCTTAGTTTCGAGAGACAAAAACATCTTCCAGTGAAATCATAACATACACCTGTGTGATCTTGAAATTTCTATATCTTCATTAATCATGGACCAATTCTAACGAAATATGGCTCAAAACACTCGTATAAGATGAAGGGCTTCTCAGATTTTGAGTCACTTTGCCCCCCTCTAACTGTTTGTGTAGGTAACATGTCCCCTAACTGCTGAATGGTTAAAACTGCTTCAAAATGGCCAATGAAAGTGTGAAATGTGTTTTCTGCCCAAATAGTGTCCCATTTGTCTTATGGTATGGTTTAAACCTATATCCCTCACTGTAAGCTTTTTAAGATCATCCAATGTGTTTCAACAATTTCCGTGAATCACATTGGTAGAATTTTGCACAGTACAGTATCTAATTTTAGGCATGTTTGTTTAAGTCTTGTAATTTCTTTAAAATTGAAGACTGAGAATAAATTATGACATCAACAAAAAATCCAGACCTTTCTTTACAAGCTGTGATAATATGAGCAGATTCATGCATGTATTAAGGAAAATATAGCCTGTTGCAGGGGTTCACTTTTTTGACCACCCTGTATTCTAGCCGTTTTTCATGTATTTTTATTTTCTACTGAATAAATTGATAGCTTTTTTGAAATGAAAAAGACGTTTTAATTGTATGTTTACTATGACCTTCTTCATTTATATTTAATGCATTTTGGCTCACAAAATTTAGGAAAAGGTCTGTATCATATGAAATGGTCATGTACATGTACTTATAATTGGTTGTAATATATGATAAAATAAAGAAATAATATAATATATATCATTGATTTTTGGGGTCTTTTGTCCATATAAAACGTTCATTGGAATAGTATATTTGAACATTATTTTAACTGCATCTTGGATCCATTAGATTTACAAAATATATCTTGCATTTTAATGTTATAGAAATGATTGTTTAAAACCGTGACAGATTTCCATAGGATAATTTATATTTTATCATATTTCTAATATATAATTCTACAATTTAGACATATGTTCACGTATTATCATTTGTCTGTTCAATTGGCCATGCCTTATCACGTTCAAAATATAGTATAACACAGATGTTTGTGAAAAACTTTTAACATACACAACATTAATTAATTATTAATGGTAAGCCAAATAGGTGCTTATGTAAATCAATGCATATATCAATGACCTCCTTCAATTGACCCCTGCAACACGCAACTTGCAATTCTAATTTTCTCAGATATTATTGACCCATCATTGAGATCAGGTCTTGTTTGAAATGTGGTATAATTTTTTTAATATGTAAAATCACTAGCCCGAGACAATGTGTAATTTCCGATTAATAAGAACAACACAAAATGCAGTCATATTTTCAAAAGTCATGTTGTTTTACAAAGGTCCGTGTGCAGTATGGCAAGTGATTTTAGATGTACTCATGATCATGGTTAAAAATATGACCGTCTAAAATCAACTTGCCATACACTGCACATGGACCTTTGGAAGCAATGCAACAGGATATTGCATTCCTACAAGTATAGGGGACTTCAATTATGTCAATTCTTAGTACACATACCTGAAATTTATACTTGATCAGTATCCCTCCCCCGTATGGTTAGATGATGTCGGGCATTGTTACCTCGAACTAAAAATAGAATCTAAAGTAGGGAGTAGTACGCAAAAGTACAATGATTGAAAATATAGAAAACACCTAAAGTTATTGGTAATGCCATCCACAGATTACCTCAAGCCTGAGCGAAATCAATGTATTTGATTGCATTTATTATATAATGGTTTGAAAAAGGAAAAAATTAGATTGTATGATAGTATTTGTGAAACAATGCATGTTGTTTTTTAACTGTATAATTATATGCAAATGTCTTGTAATTGATTTTGTGAGGAAACCAAGTGTTTGGTTTGAAACACAATAAAATCTTGAATCTTGAATCTTGGTTTAGAAAGCGATGACTGGCATGACATAGAATCTGGATTGCTATCATATTTCTCTTTTAAAATAACGAATAATTATATCACCCATCTGAGTATTTGTAGGTTTGATAACTACATATAAATATTCTTGATTTTTTGCTATTCTACACTAAATTAGAATAAATAGTATATCCACTCAATCAACAGCTTGACATGTCTCAATAAATCAATATATAATTATAAAATAAATACTGGTCACTTAAGCTCCAAAAGTTAAAATGATCTTAAGTATAATCAATTAATTAACGTCTCGGAACAGTAGACATTTTGCTTAAAATATAAATTATATGAGACTGATAACAGTTTACAATTATTTTCTGTATGATAAATAAATTATATGTCTTTACATTTTTGAAGAACTACATAAATTAAAGTCATGACACTTAAAATCAAACGATCGTGATTAATAAATCATGATCGATGTATCAAGATATACCTACCCAAATTAATTACCTGCTTTATCTCAATAAACTTCTATGATCAGTCACACTTGACACAATTATTTATTATCATTGAGTTTATTTCAAACATCTTATTTGTTTTGTTTGTCAATTTTAAAATTTATTCCTGGGAAGTCTGTGGAAAACTACCTAACAAGACTCACATAACAATGAACTAGATGCGAGTAGATATAATCTTGATTAACGTCATTAAATATTCAAAGTTCAGTCAAAGTTATGTAGTAATTGAAATCTACAAGTAAAAATACATCTAGAAATATGAAATTGTTTATCTTTTTTTGAAAATGTGTTCGGGGATATTCCCCATAGAGCCCATGTTATAAAATCACAAAAAATAAATATATTTTCTTGTATTGTATTGTATATCACATATGTACCCTTTGCCTTCGACCGACTTCACTTCTTAAAAGAGAGCTTCGTCTTTATAACTAGACTCTATTTACTAGCATGAGAAAAGTACAACGACCGTCAATGCATTAGATAAGACGGGACCAGTATAAATAACTTTTGGCAAACAAGCAACCAGGAGCACATTGCCTTATGTTGTATTTAACCTTACTTTCTTTATAAACATACAATATCAGGTGTCCCAAAAAAGTGAGCCGCTTTTTGATTATATATATATATTTCAGCAATGGATTAACCAAATTCATTAACCATTTGCACTAAGTCTCACATTGGAATAGCCTGACAACGGTAAACTCAGATACCGTTGTCACAAATAGCGGACATAACCGTCGCTTCAACTCTTTAATCACTTGGTTCTCATTTCATGAGATTTTATTGTCGCTAATTCTGTGCATTTATTAAGCTCTTGTGGTGATGTATCATATAAAATCCCAATTTCTATCAATTGGGGTTGTGAATCGCCACAATATAGCATCTTCGATATTGTCAATGACAACGGAATCTGAATTTGAAATAATTTACAAAGACAACGACATATGAAGTCTAACAAAGTTTCGTATCAGTAACCACAAATTAAAAATAGAAACGGGTAGATACGAACGCCCAAAATTAAAGATCGATGAAAGAATTTGCGAGGTTTGCAATTTAATAGAAAACGAAAAACACATAATGCGTTCATGTAAAAAATACAGTATATATAGAAAGAAAATGCTCGATAAACTTGTATCACACGGCAACCCAATTAAACACATTTTCAACATGGAGGACGATTCACTTTTTTCCAATATTGTATGTCTTGTGAAAATAAAGAAATTGAAATTGTAGCAGAATTTATTCATAAATGTAATATAACATAGAAGGGTGTGATATATGACATAAACAATGGACGCGTATCACAATCACCATTCATGTGCTTATCCATGATGCATATTTATTTGTTCATTTATTTACTTATTTATTTATTATGAAGTGTTAATTTTGTGTGTTGTTATATATAATATATTGTAAAATTAGTGTTTACTTTGTGTACACTTAACCTTTTATGGGTATGAATGTGTAATAAAGTTCATAAATCTATGGTAATACAGTGTCCGTTGTCCCGTACCTCAATTTGATTGGTTAAATTAAAGACTTTATTTCGATGGTAGAACATTATTACTGTCCAGTGAGTATAAAGACACTTTGATTGATTGTTGTTCCAAAGGAATTTAGTCTAGGTGCTTTATTAGACATAGAGTTCATGAAAATCTAATTGAAGCGACGGTTATGAGAACTGACAAATTCAAAACAGCATGTCAACAAATTCAATATCAGAGCTGAACAATAAAATGAGGCCTTCATCATATTTATGGCAGCTGTCTGGTGTTGAAAACTGTTTCAAGGAGAAAAAATGGCGTTGAAGAATAATCGTGAAGCAATTTCTGGACAAGGAATGGAGTCATGTAACAGTAAACAGACCTATGAAAATGCACTGTGCTCGAACATACATTGAAGGATGGGATAATTTTATCATTGGCGGAAATTGCTCAAAGCATTTCTTTTTCATTGATATAGGATATTTTCACTTTTAAATTTGACAATTTGAGAATAATTTGAACCAGATCGCCTATATATTTTGCAGACTTGTTTGTAAAAAATTTCCGAAAATTTAGTTCATCCATTGCTGAGAAAATATTTTTCAAACAGCGGCTCATTTTTGGGACACCCGATATCCACCAAAAGCATGTTCCGTTAATCGGTCATGTGATCAAAAAATCAAGAGTATTAACAAACAACAAACTGGCATACATGTTAAAGTATCTGGCTCCACAACGTCGCCGAACGTTTTACATCGTACTACACTACAAAGATAAGACCCAGAAAGCACAAGAATTATGAAATTGCCATATACAACTTGCGGAAAAGTTATCACTTGTCAAAACTACATGATTAGGATCTGCTTATAAGACTTTGTAAGTATATTCCCGCTCGCTCTATATGTTTCTCAGAAAAATTACTACAAGGGGCGAAATAACGCAAATAGAGCCCCATCTCAGAAACTGATTAGAGTTAGAACACCAAAGGATAGGTATCGATAAGGTGAACTGAATTCAACAATGTTTTCTCTTAAACGAAAAGCACAGTCCATTATGTAATGTTGACTGATTGGCTACAATTTCATGAAAAAAATATTTATATGTATTTTATATAACTGTTTTTGTTAATATATTTTGTTTTTTAGTGCAATTGTTTTTTGTTCCTTTCTACCAATTTCTGAGAATGAAATAAAATGTCTTTCCGAACCTTGTTGGAACAAAATAGCATTTTACAACATTTTCATAGACCTCTCAATATTATCGTTTACAAAGGAAAGTATTGTTGATTTAACAAAAAGTTTGCAAAAACTTAAAAAAGCCCCCCGCCCCCCCCCCCCCCCCCAAAAAGATAAAAATTAAGATGATCCTTTTATTTCATTAACAAGATACTTTTTTAAATCAACCAAACTTTCTTTTATACAATTAAAATATTGAGAGACCTAAACACGTTGTGTTTATGTCGTTTTGTTCCAATGAGGTTCGGATAGATGTTTCATTTCATTCCGAACATATGATACCAAGAACGAAAAAAGTGTCTGATGTGTTTTCTAAAACAATAAAGAGAAAAGAATATAAATATAATTCAAATTATAATGTTGCCATCCGTGTTCAAAAACTTCACCATATCGATACCACTCCGTTCATACATCTCCAGACATTCATTATCATTTCCACAAAATCTGAGGCAAAAATTTTACTTTATGTCAGAATTACGGTTGCCATAGCAACCCGTGGTATGGGCACCTGAAGCAGGTCGTGATTTATTCATAACAATAAGGTTTTGAACGTCTGTCCAAAATGAGTTAAAAAGACACCGTCAAGTCATACAGATTTGATGTTATTTGGTGTAAATCAATTCTGAAAGGTTCTGTTATTGATGTGATGTACTTTTAATCGTGATGTTAGTATACCTCCACAACAATAGGTTTGCCAGTATACATGTGACTTGTCGATACCCAACGACAGGATGACAGAAGACACAGGCACCGAGGAAATCAAAGTCAAGTCAGCCATACTGAAATATTTTGGAATTGAAAACTTCAGATCTCATTATAAGAAAGAGAAGGCAACTTGCAGAGCAGAGATGAATAAATAAGTTAAGCAGCTGGTAATGGTTTATAAAACTGTCACTATTTAACTGGGCATGAACTGGGCATTAGTTATGAGCATGAAAAATGATTATTAAAAAAGTGTGATTTGAGGTGCTTCAGGTGCTCATGACTAAGGTTGCCGTCTGCTAAATCCTTATTGTTCCTTTAATAATTAAGACCTACTTCAGGTACCCATACCACGGGTTACTATGGTAACTGTAACTTTGACATATATCAATCTTTGTACCTGGAATTTTCTGGAAATATTGATGAATGTTTGGTGATACTATATTATCAAGTTTAGTGTTTTAACTCTAATTAGTTTCTGAGATAGGGCTCTATTTGCGTTATTTGTTGATCACCCCTTGTAACATAAGTTTTAGAATATTTTCTTAAAAATGAGATACAGAAAGAAACTGGTTTGTACATGTCTTTCTTTTTGGCCCGTATTTTTGTTTGATGTATACTTTTCCAAAATGTATTTTATTTGTTTGAAACTATTGTGTGCATTATCAGAAATTAGGGGAAATTGGGGTTTTTCACATTATCTTAGAAGATGTCTCGAATCTTCTGACGAATATAAATATGTATTTAAAGATGTTTCCCTCTTTTATTGTTATATAATTCTTTTTTGTGTAAATATACAATTGATATGCTAAACTATAAACTGGTGATCAACGATATCAATGTATGCATGGGCCAACTTGTATGATTAGCTTTTGATGTCAACAAGCCTTGACATTTAATTAAAAGTTCATGACTAAAAAAATATATGTGTGTATTTCCAGATTATCTTTGAAACACCAGTCATGGATGTACTCAAAAACAGTGTCAAACAGATTAATGAACAATCCAACTTTTTCACGATCTTTGGATTCCTGGTGACTGTTCTCTACATTCCAAGAGTTGCTATTACTTTGGTTGCTCAATCAGAATTCTTCAATAAAGACTACCTTGCATGTACACCGAACAGCACTTTGGATTCGGAATACGGAAGTCTGAGGCAACGATGTTATGTAAAATTCGCTACATCGTGGCCTCCCCATTACCATTGGTTCATGCAGTTAGGGTTGACAATCGGCGTCTTGATTTGCTTCTATTTTCCATCCTTGTGGTCCATTAAGCACAAGAAGAACATCTCTAAGAATGTCGAGCGAGGATACCTTGTTCAAACTGCGATAAGGGCAGTTTTTGAGACTTGCTTTATCGTTTCTCAAGGTTTCTTATACGGATTTGAAGTAGATAGCAAATTCGTTTGTTCAGTAGATAATAGACGTATACAATGCGATGTCCTTCGAGTGATCGGAAGGGTCGCCATGCTTGTGGCTATGTTCGTTATCTCCATTGTTGTGTTGGGTTTGCTCGTTGCAGATTTCACGTACGGAATCTGGACACTAAGAGCAAACGACGGTTCCCTCTTACCAGTGCTAGAAGATACAGGTAATTAATACTTTTGATCCATATGGTGTAAGATTCACAATCAATTTAGTTGTTCACTTGTTTTTTATATATTTATAATAGACAGCTAGAACCAAGCCAATGGTTTGACCAAGTCACCTACATTTTTACTATCCAAATCAAAAATACAATAAGAAATGACACATTTAAACAAACTTAATTTTTGGCCTTTTAAACTTTGTCAATTCGACTCCCGATGTCAGATTGTGCTCCACGTACCCAGGCATTATTTATTTTCCAATAGAACTTAAAGACAGAATCAGAGGCCTCATCACCCGCTCGTCGCAACGCAAATTTGCAAGCGCACCGCAACGCAATGCAAGTTTTTTCGAATCTCAATCAGGATTTGTATCTTTCAATCACAACTTACTAAAAAGTTGCGATAGCTCTTGCCCCGCTGCAAATCACGCAAAAACCGGGCTAAGAGCTCTTAGCTAAAACCGATGGATTAACACTCGCTTGTAAAACGTTTTAACGCTAAGACGTCTTGGCTATGACTAGGGTCCTAAAACGTTTTAACTAAGCGCTCTTAGCTCTTAGAGCTCTTAAGAAAATCTGGATTTACATTACATTTGTAAAAAGTTTTAACGCTTAAACGTTTTAGCCAAGACGTCTTGGTGCTCTAGTGTAAATCCAACATATTTGTCATTTGTAAGTTGCCTGTTGCAAAGAACCTCAAAGTTATGCCCATTTTTAGCGATGCCAGAATGAATGTTGCGTTTCGTTTTCTTGGATTTGCGATCAGAATTTAGATTTAATTATAATATTCGAAGGTTTTAAACACCCCTCATACCATTAACGATTCCTTTGATTTAAGCACTTTCGAAAAACATAAACTAACTTTTTATTACTCGGTCACCTTGAGAAAAGAACGTACTTTCGCAATCAATAAAGAAATCCTAGATTGACACATTTTAAATAGATAACAATTGTCTTAAATATGGGTTATATTTGCTATTGGCGGTAGGGAAAGAGCTATCCCAACTTTTGGTCAGTTGCGATTGAAACATCTATCAATATGCGATTGCGTTGCGTTGCGCCGAGCGGATGATACTAATCCTGATTGCGATCCGTAAAAACTTGCGTTGCGGTGCGGTGCACTTGCGAATCTGCGTTTCGACGAGCGGGTGATGAGGCCTCTGATCTATAGGAAGTGACCAAATTGCAAGCAACATGTACAGTTGGCCTACCAATATTATCCTTACAATCTCAAATACAATATCTCCCAAAAGATCCACGATATGTTATCAATTAGTGAATTTGTTTAAGTTCCATAGTGTATAAGTGGGGAATATTCTTTAAATTCTTTCAAATAATAAATTTGGTAACCATATTTATATAAAAATGAATACATTATTGTAAAAATCTCAGGTTTTCCACAAGTACAGTATACGGTTAAGGGATTTTAGAAACAAGACATGACAAAGGAATATATGAAGCAAAAAATTCAAAAATTGAAACACTTTTTGTCAAGAGTACTCTGAGACTAGTTAATGCCACCTCATATATTAAGCATAATCGCCAAACAGAAAATACCAAATAGCATGACAAAGTACATATCCAGTCATAAGGAAACAAGGACATCTTTTGATCATTTTCATTTAACCTACAAGGTAACGATATTAAACAAATACTGGATGACCATGAGGTGGATATGCCAGAATACCTATCCGAAGAAAAAATACTAGGCGAGGCGAACTCCCAGTTTTTATTTTATTATGCACCTCCCTTTGTTAATATCATATTCCTACCATTAATTTACTGTAGATAAATAAAAGATGGTGTTAGATTGTCAAGAAATACTTTATTTTAAGAATGGGTCTACTAAAACAGAAGCAGAGGCTAGTATTTTTCATGGATAGGTATTCTGGCATACGGGATGGATCTTGCTGCCACGTATGGCAATAAACCCTGCAGCTCTTAACCAATCAGATTTGAGTATTTTAATGAGGTGCATGATAAATATCATTATAAACCTCTAGGTATTGATATCACAATTCCAAACCGAGCGACCATGGGACAGATAATTTACTTATAATTCCTCAAAATACTTGTTTACTACCATAAAATCAAATTCTCTTGATGTCGAAAATATTTGTAGATAATATGTCGATAAATCCAGCTTCATTTAGTCTAAAACGAGATATGACAGACAAAATTCGTTTTCGAAATTCTTTATATGCCAAAGATCAATACACGTCAACATAGATCATAATACTATCAGGTAAGTTTTATCTAATTATACAGATTTGTGTCACACGTCTCATGATCGCGGGGATCTCTTCTAACGAAAACACGTGTGCGAGTAATGAGCGTTGCGTCATATGTTATTAAAAATAAAAATGACGTTCTAAAGGATGAGTCTGGGAATGAGTCTGGGTATCGACTTAGAAAATATTGAAAATTGTAATGTCTGAAAAACCAATTTAATCACACATATTATTAAACTTCAATATCTAATCCTTCTTCTGAGATTACCTAAATATCAATTTGTATCACAATCGATGAAGAAAATTGGCATCAAAGACAGTGCATATCACTTTGTCAGAATTGAAAAATAATCAATGGCAAATATTAAATGAATAGTTTATACAAAAGGTTTGAAACATATCCTCCAAAACATTGCTTACTTTCTTTGAAGAGACATTGAATCACTGGCATGTAGCGATTATAGCGGTCCTGTCTTGGCTTATTGAATTGTTACGAAGTTACGTATGCGGTGCGGAAGTTAGAGAGCAAATGACCATCATTTCAATGTAATAGTTTATGCAGGAAAATTGAGATTAGGCCATTGGAGTATTTGTTTCATGCATTTGTAAAACGTTACCCACTCATAGGTCATACTTATCGTTAAACCAATAACTCAAATATATGCCCTTGTACACCGATCACCTGTTGAAATTAATACAGGCCGATTTCAACAAATGTAAACGGCGATATATTTAAAATCGTATTCAAGCATGACCACGTCCCAACTTCTTTTGTTTTCTTTACAACTAAGCTATGACTGCAGTCTATTCAGTGTTGCGTATCGAACCTTGTTTATTATAAAAATAGTGCAACAACAAGCAGAATTCACACATTTACCTTATACTTATTCTCAACTGAAGACATTGAATTTATCTCTTAGGTTTTACATTATAAATATCTTAACATGCAGAATACGAAAATAGAGGCTTAGGCCCAACTTTGTATGAATTTTATGAGAATAATCTGATTTTAGAGAAATGAAAAGAAAAATGTCCACACACTACACAAAATATTTATGGTTCCCCGGGAATACGTATGTGCTGCTTGTATATTAGAATCGTATTCCAGTTACAGAAAGAAGTACATATCATGCTAAACTATATACAACAGTTATGCACTTGGAGGTTTTGGATACAGGGAATATCCCGAGGGATATATAATATGTCTTCCCTTGGTCCCTTCGGTCCCTCGGGAAGATATATTGTATATCCCTCGGGATATTCCCTGTATCCAAAACCTCCAATTGCATAACCCCTATATATTGGCCAAGGGATAATCCCAATTTCCTGACTATAGGATAATATGTTTATCCCATACCAATCTTGGTCATCTGGTTCACATTGTTAAATCGTGGAAATATTTTAGAATATTCATGTCCAGTTTTGTTTTCTTGGCCGTGGGCGGATTTTCATGTTCTCTCAAATAATCCCATATTTATTTTCTCGAATTTTTTATTGATAAAGTGGATGCCCTTTCCCTTTTTTTAACTATCAAACAGACCCTGATTGTCTGTGTTTTCTCCATTGCCGTTTACAGTCATTCCGCGAACGTTACAAATTATGAACAAATATGCAAGCGGCGATTATGACGTAGCGGGCAGATATACTACATCTGCCCGCTTGGAGCGGGACGTAAAGCTTTATCCCATGGTTGCAAGGAGGATATAGATCGATTATCACATGATGATATATTTGATATGTGGATCAAGATATCATATTTTATCAAACAATTTACAAACCATCGAATATCACTTTTAAACTATCGAATATCACATCTTAAATAGAGGATATCCTATGATTTATGAGTGATATGATTTTTATCCACGAATGGATATGATATCTGCACGAGTGAGCGTAGCGAGAGAGTGCAGATACATGTATCAACATCCATGAGTGGATTAAAATCATATCACGAGTAAATCATAGGATGTTCTTTATATTCCATAGTTAAAGTCATCATCAGAATCTTCGGGAATTAAGTGATCTAAAACGAATTTTCCAAACGATACGGCGATATTGACACTTAGCCTCGTTTTGAGTCTGAAGTAGCAAAAATCCATAAACCATGGCATACGGCGCCGCATGTCATGGCTAAAACACCGTATGCTATGGTTAAGTGAAAATTTGCCAAAAATATCATATTTTACCACTGATTTCAAAAATACCGTTTTTATTTTGACATGTTATCCTATGGATATCATGCTAACTATGGAATAATATAGGAATATCCTATGGCTCTGAAATATCACTTATATCCATGAGTGGATATTGATATCTTCGCGAGTGAGCGCAGCGAATGAGTGAAGATACTGATATCCATGAGTGGATATAAGTGATATTTTTGAAAAACTATAGGATTGTCCGTTTATCCCATTGGGAATTATTATCCAGCGAACATTGAATAGTCACATAAATTGTAATGGAAATTCCATTTCGTCTGACATTTTGATTGCGATAATTCAACGAACGTCATATACGTGACGTAACAGAGTGGTTTGTATTTAATGCGAACGCCGTAAAAACAGGATCCCAAAAAATAGAAATATATAATAAATATATAATTCAATTCAATTCAGTTCAATTTATTTCATAATTATTATATAATATACACTATAAAAACAAGCCGCTAGACACCCTAGTGGGTATATGTTGCGGTCTAACAGAAATCATTAAAATGACATCTAGACTACATATAAAAGAAAACACTTATATTATGTTACATGTAGGTATATA